CATTTGTGATCTTGTCCATTTGTCAAGTCAAACTCACAAAAATCAGAGATCTTACCTAATATCAAACTTTATTAATAATTCAAAGAACACAGGTAGCCACAAGAAGCAGGTCAATTATGGAGAATTCTGATAGCTTCCCTCACTGTGTTGTGGAAGAAAGCTCCCTGGTCCAGATTTAAGTTGCGTTCTGTAAGGATGCATGCTAGACATCATTTCCACAAAGGGGAGAAATTTCTATCATGAAACATCTCCATTTTGTAAACCAGAAATTACATGGCTGATACTGATATTTTCCAGTGGGCCATGCCACATAAATCTACAAACAACTGGTTTACCATACAAAAACCTACATAGATCAGACATATCTTAATAAAAGCAGCCCACATATAAGAAGGAGATTTACATTATGTTTACAAGGAGATGTGACCAGGTCATTTAATTCTTTTGAGTTTTTTTTCCCTCTCTTCCCTGAACAGGATGGGTTACAGACCAGTTGCTAACCTTTCCCTTCCCAGTCTAAAAGATACAAGGACTGGGGGAAAAATGGTCTGTGTAAGCTACTTTAAGGCAAGAGGTTTTGTTTCTTCTGTTAACTTCCTAGAACAGAATATTCCTAGAACAGAGCCTAGCGCATTGAGATACTCAATAAACGTCTGTTGAATGAAAGAATTATTCATAAATCAATGCTTCTACAGAGAAAACCCAAAAGCAACTATAAAGAAATTACAATTGATAAGAGTTAAGTGAATTAATAAAAAATCAATATGCAAAATTACTTGCATTTCTATGTTCCTGCAACAAAGAGAAAAAGTAATTTTTTTAAAAAAGATTTTATTTATTTATTTGACAGAAACAGACACAGCGAGAGAGGGAACACAAGCAGGGGGAGTGGGAGAGGGAGAAGCAGGCTTCCCACTGAACAGGGAGCCCGATGTGGGGCTCGATCCCAGGACCCTGGGATCATGACCTGAGCCGAAGGCAGATGCTTAGCCAACTGAGCCACCCAGGCACCCCGAGAAAAAGTAATTTTAAGATAATCTTTACTACAGCAACAGAAAGCAAAGTCACCTAGGAACAAATCTAAGAACAAAAAAATGTATACGGCCTTTACGGCAAAAATTAAAAACTTTCTTGAAAGGTACTGAAAAATGCCCAAATAGATGGCGAGATGTATGTTCATAGGTAAGAAAATTTAGTATCATAAAATATCAGTTTTCCTGAATTGACCTATAGCTTCAATGTTATTATAATACGCTAATGTTTATTTTTGTTTTGTTTGGTGGATGCTAATAATCTGAATCTGAAACTATATAAGAAACAAAGGTCCACAATAGTCCTGAACAAGGAGGAGGAGGAAAACTCACCATATCAAATACCCAAAACCTATTTTTAAAGTTATAACAATAGAGTCAATGTGGCACTGGTACAAGAATAGACAAATAGACCAATGGGCCACACAGAAAAAAGAGAGAGCTGTCTGTATATAGCAACTTCATATATGAGAGAGGTGGCCTTGCATGTTAGTGGGAAAAAAAGAGCTATTTGAAAGCTGGCATTATTACAAATGGTTACCCATATAGAAGAAAATCAAATTTGAACTCTTCCCTTCACACACAAAACTCAGTTTCCAATAGATTATAAACCTAACTGTAAAATGCAAAACTTCAAAACTTCTAGCAGCAAACAAAGAATATCTCCATAAACTTCGGCAGGACATAAAAATCACACACATGCACAAAAATGATTGCTATATTTCACTATGACAAATGGGACACTTTTGTGAAGCAAAGGATGCTATTTAAAAACTAAAAAAAAAAAAAAGCAACAAGCTAGGGAAAAAAAGAGCTCAAGAAATGTAGCTGACAGAGAATCTGTGTCCAGAATCTATAATTAATTCATGTGTATCAATAAGAAAGTCAGAACCTACCTGGAAACTGGACAAAAAGTTTATCTAGTCCTGTTACACAGAAAAAACTGATTGTAAACATACGGAAAAGTTGTCAACTTTGTCAGTAATCAGTGAAACACAAATTTTAACTGCAATGAAAGGCAATTTTGCATCATCAGAAATGTAAAACTTAAACTCTGACAGTTTCAATTTTTGGTGAGAATGCAGGACATGGGGAACCCCCCTATACTGGTAGGCAGGACTATCACTGAATCCAGTCCCTTTGCAAAATAATTTAACACTACCTTTAAACCTTAAAACACTCAATGAACCATAATTCCACCTTTAGCTATACATTCTGGGAGCACTTGCATATGTGTGCCAGAAGACAGAGCAGTAATATATATAAAGAGCAACCAAACAAAAACAACTCAAATGTGCATCACCAAGAAAATTGACAAATTGTGGCAAATTGAAACTACAGAATATTCTACAGCAATGAAGTAAATGAACTACAGCTACCCACATCGATGTGGATGAATGTCAAAACAAGAGTGGGGTAAAGCAAGTCACAGAAAAATACAAACACTACGATAGCATCTATCTAAATGGCAAGATGTAATAAATGATCAAGGAGTGATGCCAGGTGTTGTGGAATTTCTGAGAGAACCTTTTCTGCCTGTGGGAATCAAGAAAGACAGCACAGGGAAGTGACATGTGAGCTGGACTTTGAGCACTAGAGATCATTCCTAGAAAGAGACAGAGGAACAGGAGAATGTCACTGTGGTCCAGACTGAGAAATCAGTGTGAGCAATGGGGTGGAGAACCCCCCGCATTCTTCAGAGAATAACGTAACTGAAAAATAAGGCATGTAATGAGAAATCGTAAGAGCAGTAATAAGGCTAGAACAGGCTGGGGCTAGGGAACCAAGAAGCCCTCGCCGGCTCTCTTTGAACACACAAGAGAGAAGTCCCATCCTCCGTACCCTAAAGGGATCCTTGTTCCATTTCCCCTCCTCAAACAGTGCCCGGTTTGTTTGGTTTTTTTTAAGATTTTATTTATTTATTTGACACAGAGAGAGACAGAGAGGGAACATGAGCAGGAGGAGTGGGAGAGGGAGAAGCAGGCTTCACGCAGAGCAGGGAGCCCGATGCGGGGCTCGATCCCAGGACCCTGGGATCATGACCTGAGCCAAAGGCAGACGCTTCACCGACTGAGCCATCCAGGTGCCCCTATGTGGGGTTTGATCCCAGGACGCTGGGACCGTGACCTGAGCCGAAGGCAGACGCTTAACGACTAAGGCACCCAGGCGCCCCAAACAGTGCCCGGTTCTATGAGCCGCACCCTCACATCTTCTGCCCAGGGTTCGCTCTGCTCTCTTCCCCAACAACGCTCCCATTCTCCCACCTTGAAAATAGCGGATGACGTACTGTGATGAACAGCACCACTTCAATAGGAGTATGGGATAACACCAATAACGTAGGTGGAAAAAGCCTGCATTGTCCCAGAGCATTCAGCAAACCCTTGTAACCTAGGATCCACAGGGAAGGCCGTGTGGTGCCTGGGGGATATGTCCCTTGAGCAGGATTCTCACACGCATACCCAATTTGGGATGTAACTCAATAAGCAAAGACTGTGCTCTCTAGCTATCTTCATTCTGCAGACATTTATTGAGCATTTACAGCCAAAAGTAGCTGGGTCTTCACGAGGCTATGCGGCCAGTCTCATCGGCATCCCAACGGCAGTCTCCAATGGTAACAGCCCAGTGCTGTTTAGACGGGATCCAGAAGTGATTAGCTACTTATTTTCATTTTGCAGAATAGCCATTCCGCGTTCACTCAAGCATTCATGCTTTTTAAAACCAAATGGGAACTGTATTGAGTAAAATACTCTAAACTGCATTGGAAATAGTTGTTCAAAGTGATGCTTGAGATGTACACACACACACACACACACACACACACACACACACACACAATCATTGGTAGAATATCAACTTGTACTTTTTTTAAAAAATTACTTTCTCTTATCTTTTTACTTCAAATTTATGTGCATATATTTAAAAATAAGAACAGAGAAAATATGTTTTGTGTAATGTGACTTGAAAAAAGGAGCTCTACGTGTTCCCAGGAACTCAAAGGGGGAAAGAAGGCCCTTACCTTTCCTTGCTATCTCTGCTTTCCATCTAGACTTTAGAGAAAGCTGAATTCATCTGAACATGAATATGGAGGTTGCTTTTTATTAAAAAAAAAAAAAAGATGATGTTACTGACCTGTGATCAAAACTAGTGATCATGAATTTTAACTGACCTAGCCACATACTTTTAAAAATGCTTTCTCTTATTACCAAAGGTAGCAGCTGAGTCCTACCTCAAACATGGCTCCAGGACCTTGACCCAGGACCCAGAAAAGGAGAACACTGAGAATCTAATCAGTGGGACTTAGGGTGCCAGGTAGTACCAACCTATCACAATCACAGTTTAGATGGAGCTGGTTGAAAGCCAGAGTCAGAGGCTAAGCTCAGAGGCCAGAAAACAGATGCAGCCCAGTTAGAGCACCAAATTGAAGGTAGGAGAGCAAAAAGCAAAACCGTAGCACGAAGCACAGAACATATTTGTTATCAGTCCAGGGATTTACCAACACACTTTTATTTTATGGCTGAGGGTTTGAAGTTCTGGTTCTGCAGCATCCCACCTCCCCCTTTTAAATAAATGGGCCCAAAGCTGAAAATAATTAGAAAAACAAGCCCAATTGTTAACAAACAGTAAGCTAAGAAACAGTGACTTAGCCAATGTGGCACAGAGCATCTCAATACACTGCAGACCCTTGGCTTCATCAGCACAGCACTCTAAACACTCAAATAACCAGCCTTCTGTGGAACCCGATTGATCAACAATTATTAGGCTTATTCAAAAAATAAAGTTATGAAGTGAGAACATGAAGGCTAATCTGTGTACAGGTGATAGAAACTCAACTGGAAATAGTTTAGGCAAAAAGAAGTATACCGAGGTGTCGTACAGAACCTAAGTCAGGAACATTCTGACCTCAGCAACGACTCAAAGCAAGAACACAGGCACCACCAGGGTTCTTCCCATTCTCTAGTCTCTGCTTCATTCTGTCTCTGCAGCATGGTCAACAACAGTCCCAGAGTTGTAGGTCTTAAAGGTCTAGCACTCAGAGACTGACTTCTTGCTTTCTCTGATCCCAGTTAAAAACATATGAAGAAGGAGCTTTGCAGCCCAGATCCAGACAGATTCCCAAACCTGGGCCAGTCAACAGTGGCCAAGACAGCAGGCTACTTGGACTGGTCCCACTTGGATCAGGTGTCCAACCTTGTACTTGTCCATGGTAGTCAAAGGTATGAGGTCATGAAAAAATCTAGCCATTCTGGCAGAAACCAGAGAGATATTTTGGGGGGCTGACATTTCCAGAAGCAGCAGATGCAGAGCATATAAACAGTAAGTATCCACCAAACAAAGTAAATTAGCTACATATTACAATTACTGGGCTAACAGCACAATATTTTATTACACCCAGAAGAGAGAATTAGCTGTCCCTGACAATAAGCATTGTGTCCTTCATATAATCTTATTTAAGAAACCATTGCACGTCCAACTCCCAGATGAAGATGAAGCTTCTACACTCCTCAGTTTCCAAGTTGCTCCCTAGAACTCTCAGGCGGGGGTGGGGGGTGGCATACAGTGTCTGTCACACGCATTAAGGTTACTCTAGTTGAGGAGCAGCATAAACAAGAAGGAAAAACCAGCTTTCCTGACAGATTTAGTTCACAATCCAACTCCTATGCGCTGTGTGACTATGGGCACATTGCTGAAACTCTGGAGCACAGTTTGCTCACCTGCAAAATAGAGGAAATATATACCTTGCAAGGTTGTATAAAGGTTAGAGCTAATGCATAAGGAGCCCCATACCTGATACATGGGAGCTATTGTATTATTAATATACTGAATGGCTTCCTCATTACCTCTAAGAGCTAAAGCACACTTGGCCCTGGGAATGTCTTCAGGCCATGTTCCATTTCTTACTAACCTACTTCCTTGTGAAAAGCTCTCTTTCCCACCCTGTATACCCAAAAGACATGGTTAATATAGATTCCAATTAGGTTGTACTATTAAAAAAAAAAAGGAAGATGGGTGGGGGCAGTTTTCAATTTGGCTTTCCCCAGAGGTTTACTTACTTCATCTGAAATGATACCACAAAATACCCAAAATCCAAAGATGACTTTGAAATGTGAGCTAACACAGTACAACTACACTAATACCCTGAAATGTGTAGGTATATGTGTATACATTATATACATGTAACTACATATATAAATATATACTACATATATTTTTTTAATACTTTTTATATTTATAATATTACATTTTATAATTGGATTTTTCTCTCATGTGTTTTATTGTGTCGGGGTTTGTTTTTTTGTTTGTTTTTTTAATAAGATAAAAATACAACTCAGGAAAATCATGGCTGGCACCATCTCTAGAGCTAGGGGCATTCAGAGCAAAGTTCCCCACCTGGATTTCAGAGTATTAATCCCTTCATTTCACAGTGGGGGGACTGAAGTTCAGAAGGTGAACTGACTAGTCAGAAATCAGCCAGGTCAAGTATTAGGGACAGGTCTAGAGCCTTATTCCCAGCCCCGGGCCTCTCCCACCCACTCCCCAGCATGCATGGCTAGAGGGAGGAAGGTGGGACCCTCAGATGGCCCCAGGGGACAACTGAGAGACCAGAGCAAAGGAAATGCTGCAGGCAGATCCCAGATCCCTCAAACGGATCTTCTAGTGAAAGGGGAAGAAGCCCGGCCTTACTCCCACGCTTTCTCCTGGTCACTTTCTCTGGCCAGATTTAAGAGACTTGTCAATTATGCATTATTTTGTAATGTCTGAAGCTCCATTAACAGATAATCAGAAAAGAGCTTGCTTTAAGGTGCCTCAAATAGCAACAGTGATAATACTCAATAGTGCAGCCAGCTCATCATAAAAAATGACTCCCATACTCCTGTCTCAATCTCGTGCTTCAATTCACTTCCTACACTAGCAAAATCCAAATGTTGGGGGCATCCTGCACACCCGACTCTTTCTTGCCTCCATGCTTTTGCTCCTGCTGATCATGCTGGAATTCCCTTCTGCTCTTTCCTTGGCTCACACATCCTTTAAGATAGAGCTCAGGTACCACCTCCTCCAGGAAGCTTCCCATCGTTCACCCTTGTGTTCTGGCCCATCATAGGCTTCAGCAAAGGTGTGTTGAGCACTGAATGCTGAACGGAAGAGGTTTCTCACTGTAAGCCAGCACCAGAGTTCCCTTTTTCCCAGTCCAAACCTGCTGAGCCTTTCCAACATCTCTAACAAGAGAATCAGGCTGTGTCTGCCACAGGCCGTTGAAGCTATAGAAATGTCTGCCAGAAAGTGTCTGTTGCCTTTCCTGACAGAGAGGGGGGAGAAAGCTTAGCAGCAGGGGGACAGGGTAATGCGAGCAGAGAAACAACACAACGGTACTTGGGGCAGGAAGCAACCTAGACAATGTGAACATATATCCGAACTTGTCTAAAACCACTGTTTCTTCTTTCTTGCTTTTCAGTAACTTGACCCTTGGCCTAAGATTCCTGCATTTGCAGTCATTCCCAGCCAGCAAGTGGAGGGCTGAGGGAGTGAACTGGCTCACAGCAGCTTCACATCCAAGACCATCACCCCTTTAAGTGAACTCCACCCCAAGTCATAGCTGGGCCAAGTGGTTCCACCTGCAGAACTAGAGGGCCACATGGGGCTCCTGCAAAGTATGGGCTGTTCCCTAAGATAGAACTCAAGGGGGCATGACATGATTCAAAGAAGAGACAGGATCAAACACAAATCTGGCCTGTCCAGGCTGGGTGCCCCTTGGCACCACCCTGTTTCTCAGACACTGAGAAAGCCAGCACATCATACCCTGCACTGAGCCTGGCACAGATGCTCCAGGACAAAATACAGGCCAAATCTCAAATGTGATTTCTCTGACTCTGATTCTTATCTATACAGCTTAACAAATCATGTTTGTTCAAGCTCATTCACTCACAAACTCTGGCTGGCATCCAGTACCACCAACGTGAGACCATGGGTCCCATGGAGCTCATTACATCTGTGGTCTGTGGTCTTCTATGGCCAACAATTAGCTCCAGGATACAATACAAGCTGCCATTTCCATCCTGGTCATGGTTGCCATGGGGATCACTTCCTGCTTCTTTGTGGGAATCAAATGTAATGCTTTTGCTAATGGCCCATAGTTTTGACTCTTGGGAAACCGGAAGCATTAAGCAATCAGAGCACTTGTATTTTAAATTCCTTTCCTGCCTTAGGACCTTAAGTATTGATGAAGAGGGGCCAGGGACACAGGAAAGGGGTGTGCACCATTCCATTAGGAAAGAGGTTTCTACTGGTCCTTTCCTTTGTCAGTATGATTTAGATGTTTTCATATATTTAAGAAAAATAGGAGACACCATAGTTACACAGTGAGGGAGCAAAACACCTGGTTCTACACTTGACCCATCCATCAACTCTCTCTGTGAACTGTGAGACAATCCACTAAACCTCTTTGGGCCTGTTTCCTCATCAGTAAATTGAAGAGTTTGACAAAGATTTTTTTTCAAAATTCTATCCATTGGTATTTTGATTTGTTCTGCTCTCAACTTACAAAATAACTTCTCCCCTACATGGAAATGGTAAGAGTGGTCAGACAAAAAGAATTTTTTTAAATAGCAAGACTGAAAGTAAGACACATTTCAGGTCAAAAGGCCAGAGGCTAGAGGATCCCAGAAGCCACCCGGTTAGGTTAGGATGGAGGTAGGGGTCTGAAGTCAGGCAGGCAAGCAGGCATCAGGGAGCCCAGGGTCTCAAAAAGCATCTCCAGATATTCTGTGAGAAGACACCATTGCTAAGGCATAAGAGTGTCAGGAAAATCCAAAGCAAGAAATCATATATGAGCAACGTGGTGGATTTCCAAGTCAGAAAATCACAGGTCAAAAGCCAGTGAGAGGGACACCTGGGTGGCTCAGTCAGTTAAGTGCCTGCCTTTGGCTCAGGTCATGATCTCCGGATCACGGGGCTCTCTGCTCAGCGGCGAGTCTGCTTGTCTCCCTCTGCCCATCCCCCCCACTCACACTTGTGCTCTCTCTCTCTCAAATAAATAAATAAAATCTTAAAAAAAAAAAAAGAGCCAGTGGGCAGCTGGCAATGTGGGAGAAGTCAGATCATGCATGTCCCAGGCGACTATGGAAGCGATGGAAGATGTCTGATGGAGAACGTCAGTTTCTTTTCCTGACAGAGGCTCCCAGAATCTAAATGAATGATGCGAGGAAAAAAAAAATCCCTGGAACAGTCCATTCAAACCCTATGGGATTGGGGCACCTGGATGGCTCAGTCAACTGGACATCTACCTTCGGCTCAAGTCATGATCTCGGGGTCCTGAGATCGAGCCCCGCATTGGGCTCCCGACTCAATGGGGAGTCTGCTTCTCCCTCTGTCCCTCACCCCACTCGTGCTCTCTAATAAATAAAATCTTAAAAAAAAAAAAAAAACAACCTATGGGATTAAATGAATAAGCTGTGTGTGGCTGAGATGCAGGCATCCTAGGGCTCATTTTGCACATTTTTTGCTGCCACTGAGGTCCTTTTCAAAGCCCTCGGCTGTACCTCTGTAGGTGTGGCTGCTCATCTCTCTCCATCCTGTACTGAACACAGAGCTCTATTTTTTCAGAGCTTAGGGCTTGGAGATGAGAGCTTATAATCTCAACAAATATTTACTGAATGCCTAGTGTGGGCCAAACACCATCCTAGGAACTTAATATAAAGGCATATTTATTGCTACCTAAAAATCCAGATCTTTTGTGACTAATTTTCTGATCCATTCTGAGTTCCTTGTTATTATACAACCTAAGGCACTTTATATAGACTCCTAAGGAACATGTCCCTCCAAGTACAGTGGAAAAGGAATTGGGTTCTTACCCCACCTCTGCTGCTAACCGGCTTTGGGCTAAGGCTACATCACAAAAACATTCACGCTCCCAGCTTCCGTTTCTGCCATGTGGACTTAATCCTTCCTCCTCTCTTTCATGAGATGCTGGGAGGAGTCAATCAATGAATACCTGTGAAATCACTTTGAAATATGGTCTAATTGGTGACAAGCCGGCACTCAGCAAAGATGGGGGTTTCATCGGAAGCAGGGTTTCTGATTGAGCCTGGCTTCCTTAGCCATTTCTGTGCCAGTCAGCTGTCACTGCTCCTTCTCCTCACACCATGCACATTTTAAAAGCCTGCACAACCTCATCTGGAATTCACATACCCAAGCTTCAAACAGACAAGGACAATCTGAAATTGAAAATTCAGGAAGATGTCAGGTGGTAGTGCTCTCTGTGAAAAATGAGCATTGTAGACACAGCCTCCCTTCTCCCAAAGATGCCTGATGTTTGTGGATGATTTGTAATGCTTTTACTGAAAAGCCCTCATCCCCATGAACACATTTTGAAGACAGAAATCAATCTTACACTGTAACAGGGAGAGAAAATCTGTTAGCAAAAAATGAAGTGGAGAAAAAGCACCTAATTCTGGAATCCTTTCTACTAAATAAATGGATTCCAGGGCAGTAAGCCCACACCCATATTTTCCCCTCACTCTTGCAATATACTAAGCAGCTTCAAGAGGTAAGATTAAAGAGAGAGACCATATAGCCAGTCCCACCAGCATTTCCATCTCAGTAATTTAGGCTGGATGCCATCAGAGAGACAATCCCCTTTGTCATCTCACCTTGGGGACCTAATCACCCCAACCTTGGCATTTTGTACAAGGTCAGGGTTTGCCTGCACTACGAGGTATTGCTCATTACTGCAAGGACAGGCTAGACCCGTACCCTTGGGGCACTTATGATCTTTAAAATAAGGCAATAACACACAGAGGTTTAATTTAACCCCCAAACCCATATGAATTCTTAGACCACCAGACTCGAGAGAGTAATAATATAGGAGAATAAGAACTACAAAGCATACTCGAACCCAGAGCTGAAAACCATCACAGAACACATCGCAGTGAGAATCCAACCGGTTCCAGGGCAGAGGTAAGGTATCGAATAAGGCAGAAATCAGGAATGCATACTAGATAAAGCTAGCACAGCTTATAATCTCAACAAATATTTACTGAATGCCTAGTGTGGGCCAAATACCATCCTGGGAACTTAATATAAAGGTATATTTATTGCTACCTAAAAATCCAGATCTTTTGTTGGGAAGGAGACTAAAGGCGGTGGGCGGGGGGGAAGCGGTGAGAAAGACACTTCCCTGAAGAAAAGTCCAAAGTTGGTGTCTACTAGAGCACACTTACACACTGAAAATCCCCTTTATTTGCTCAGATGCCCACAGCCTCTGATAGCCTTCCATTATCTGGAGGGTTTAGAAGAGTTGCAAAAGCTTCCTAAAAACAGGTCTTGCTCTGAAAAGAGGGAAGAAGAAAAAAAAAGAAGAAGAAGAAAAAATGAAAAGAGGGAAGAGTTAGAGTCCTCCTCCCACACCTCCCCCCCCACCCCCCTGCCGAGGAAGCTAGAGTCCTCCTCCCACACCTCCCCCCAGGC